TTTCTCCTTTTCATTTTTTATTTTGGTATTATAAGTGTACATATCTTAGCATTGCCCCCCCCTCGCCCCACTCTCTCTCATACATGCCTTCACCCCCAGAGTTTTGTGTCCATTGGTTATGCTTATATGTATGCACACAAGACTTTCAGTTGATCTCTTATCTCCCCCACCTCTCCCTAACCTTCCCGCTGTAATTTGACTTTCTGTTTGATACCTTATTGTCTCTGTATCTATCATTTTCTTCAGCAGTTTATAATTTTCTTTATTATCCATAAATGAGTGAGATCATGTGGTATTTTTCTTTCATTGACTGGCTTATTTCACTCAGCATGATGCTCTCCAGTTCCATCCAGGTTGCTGCAAATGGTGAGAAACTTCTAATGCCACTTCTTCAAAATAGACTTGCCCTAGGGCAGTGGTTGGCAAAAGAGCCTAGAGCCAGTTGCCACTCTGTCTGTTGACTAATGAGTTTCTGTCCACTGCCCTAGGGCATCATTGTGTATCCATCAGTAGAGACTTGACAGGCTAAAGGAGGCAGCTAAGGAGAAAGTGCTGGAAGTACGCCCCATCCCTGAGGCAGAATTAAAGCAAAGCAGTCCCGGTGTCTTCTTTGCATCTTCCCACCTCCCCACCTTTTCTTCAGAGAGATCTTATCCTCAATGTAGATGTGTAAGCAGAGGGAAAGGAAGGGCTTTGAGGAGCCAAGGAGTGTTTTCAGAGAAAAGTAAACATGTTCCAAAATGAAGACAAGTTATAGCCAAGAGCAATGTGTTGTGGTTTGTCAAGGAACCTTGCTGCTTGGAGCATGTTTGTTTGAAATGTCACTATGTGAAATGTATTACAACAACTGGCAACCTGTAAAGCTGGGAGAATATAGAGACATCTGTAATGCTGTAGCAGTGTTGCAAAAAGAGGGAAAGTGTGCCCATTAGAGGAATTCACAAATATTCAGTGTTCAGAATTTTAATGGAGCTATTGATAACCTTGTTGTCTGGAGCTATTGATAACCTTTTTGTCTAATAGCATTCTGACTATAGAACGCATTAAACTTCTGGACTGTGGTCCCCTGGGAGCTATCACGAGATGACATTCATGGTGTACTTGACAAAAATGCTGCTTATTAAAGTATCAGAGTGGCCATTATGTTCAAGTACAAAGTTTCAATCCTCTCCATAAATTTAATCTGGGAAGAATAAAATGCTTAAGACTGTTTTAGGTTTTAATAGGATGCAGGGTACTTTCAGAGTTTGTTCTTAAGATGGTGTCAAATGTAAAAGCTGGTTTTGACATAATCACATGTAAACAGAACTAAGTTTTGAGTTTTCGGTAATTCTGTTCCATTATTGCCTACTTGTGGCTAAGGATATGATGGCTTTATAAACTCCTCCAGCTTTCAGCTATTTCAAAAGTTCCTATTGAAATACATATTCAATTGTGTGCTTCTGTGTGTGTGCTATTGCTACTCAGAAAACTGAAAATGAAAAAGAATTCAAATCATTGTATTATCTCTGCTTACATGGCATCAGAGGTAACACTTTAATGCCATCTTGGCCAGTATCTGTTTGACCTTAGACACCCTCTCTAACCCTTCCAACACACTTTTTCCTAATATGGACATGAGGGTCATAGTTCCCTAATTCACAGAATGGTTGTAAGAATTCAGTAAACAATGTACTCGGGTATGTAGGAAAAATAAAGTGTATCTTCTTTGATAAGCCCAATTAAATTGTGTTGCCTCTCCCTATGAAAAATACATAATATCAACACCTATAAGTATGTTGAAATAATATAATCCAACATAAATAAAACCCACATTTATAGGAAACATAGAATCTCTTAGCTAGCAGGAATCTTAGAGATTATATGGTTCAGTAATTCTTAGCATTTGTTTGGTTTGCAGACCACTTTGAGAATCTGACTGTTATAACCAATCTCTTCCCACAAAATGCCTCGGTACACAAAATTTTGCATCTACCTTTAGGTATTCAAGCATGCCCTAAAACCTAGTCCTAACCTCCTGAGTTAAGAATCCTCAACGTAACTCAACACCCTCACTCTAACCACGGAGAAAACTCAGAAATATAAGTGATATACTCTTGAGAATTAAACATTATTTTGAAAACATTTTTCAAAAAGAAGTTTTGAATAATGTGAGGACACGGAATTCATCAGTTCCATGAGCAGTGGTCTCACACCACAGCCATAGTTCACTGCGGGGCCTGCTGTTCAGCCTACCCTGGGCCTGTTAGTGACAGAGCACTCTATTTGCAGTAGTCCAACACAAAGTTAAATGGAATCATTTGGGTATTGATTTTATGTTTAACATGACTTTTCCCAAATATTGTGCTAGTGCATTCTCAGTACACATTCTCTAAGTACCCTGCATGGTCCAAAACCTAGTTAAGATATTGGCAGCACATGAAAATGAGATCAGTTTCTGAACCTGTTATAGAAAACTCAGAATGAGGAGCACAGCATTCAGCCCCAGAACTTGGAAAAATGTCCCACATTTAAGGTAGCATTAAGGTTGGGTCTGGGATAATGAGTTAGGAGTTTTCCAGGCAGTTAAGATATCCTAACTCCCTGTGCATGCAGATTTTGTAATTATTATTAATCATGTGTAGTAGTTAGTCCTAACATAGTATATGTGCCTGTGCATTGAAGACCTATTTCCTAGTTTCACCCACTGAGCTTCATCATTCTCTGAGCCTTGTAGCTTCTAAGCATCTGGGTTATACTCTTCTTTGGCTTGGAATTTCTAGTTTCTCAGGACTTGCCAAGTCTTTCTCAAGGCATCCCTGCACTTGCTTTTCTGTCCCCACTACCACCTTCCCACCGATCTCCATACGAGAAGACCTGTCCCTCAGGATCCACGTCACACAACCTCACCAAGCCTTTCGTGTTCTGTACAATCACCACACACATTTTCCTCAAATCAGTTTATTCTGACGCCCTGCTGGGAAATATTGGCCCAAATTACCTGGAGGATATAATTTTACAGTCTACTTATTGTCTGTCTCAAAGCCTGCGGGAGCCTGGCCTTGGGCTCCATCACCCATCACCATCCCCCAACACCTTGCACAGGAGGCAGAGGTGATAAGAGCCCTCATTAACTTCCTGTCTGGCCTTCCCCACCCATAGGCTGTTGCATTTTATCTCTCTAAGCTTTGTTTCCTGGTCTCTGCATTTTATGGACACAAAAGCAAACAACTTAAAGCTATTAAAACAGTTAGTGTGATAACACATGGGAAGTTCCTAGTGCTGTGCCTGACACATTAATTGGCTCTTAGTGAACAGTAATGTTTGTAATCACCGTCCTCCTCACCTTCTGAAATGCATCCCATCTCCATCATACAAACATTTCTAGAAACGCCTCTTCTTACCCTGGTCATCTGTGACTTCTTTTAGAACCTGCATCAGGTCCGGCTTTCCTTCCCAGAGCCCTTCCCCGAATTCACCTGCTCTCAGCACTCTCACATGCCTGCAGCGCTGCTATGTTTGGTTTACATCGTTTTCAAACTCTTCTTCAAGGTCTTGTCCTTTTCCCCAGGCTGTGATAGATGGAGGAGATGGTGGTGCAAAGTCAGGAGCCTCCTTTACGTGCCCCTTGTGTGATGATGTTGAAGTAATCATGAAACCGGTGAAAGACTGGATTGATGATAGCAAAGGGTCCTTTCTGTAATGACTTTGGAGTCTGAGTGGTTGACTATCAGCAGCATGTCTCATACTTCCTCCTTCTTCCCAAAGCTAAGGGCATTGTAGGCTGGCTCAAGGGTGTGGTGTTCTGCCCTAGTCTCATTTTCCTGAAGAATCCTAGTGCTCTTGACCCCTGTCGATGGCTCTTCTTGCAGGGGAGTTTAGCAAGATGTGTACCAGGGTTGGGGAATGGTAACCCCCATGTCCATCACACACAGCGACCTAGAGTACAGTATGCTTAAAATAAATATTTAATGAGCAAGCACCACCCTACACCATGTCCCACTGCTTCATTTTATGTCCCTTGGGAACAAATTAAGAGCAAATGGAGGAGTTTCCTCCAAACTTAAGTCTCAAGTTTTAGGGAGAAGTTGAGGGAAAAGCTCTGTTGCAGTGGGGGAAAAAGAGTTCTTAAGTTCTACAGAGGAAGTTCTTTTCCTGAAAATGTCATTCCCTTCCTTAAACCACCATACTGGGGTGAGGAGGGTCCATGAATCTAAGGTCATCTTTAATTGCCTTGTTGGAAACTATTCATATCCAATCTTAAAGCAGTTTCTTTACACAGGGCTCTTCTCATTTCTGCCAGTTTTGGTTGTATCTCTTAAACCAGCGACTCTGCCTTTGGTGTTACTGAATGTCAAGTAGCTGTGCTTCATTTCATTGTGGTCTGGCCTTTTTCTACCAGTTCGCCTTCATGCTGGAAGAACCTTCAAGTTTACAAATCGCCTTCCCCTCCTTCCCAGCTGGAGGAGGGTGTGGGGTGGGATGATGGTGGGCAGGGAACAGAGGGGAGGAAATCAGTTAATTGTAGGCTGTCAGAGTTGTTTTAGGTGACTTTGTACTTGTTGAATTTAAGATCAGCATGAACTATAGACATGTCAGGCTGGGAATTTAAATAGCAACAAAAAAGCATGGGTTTTGCTAATGCCAATCCAGGGAATGACTCATCTAGTGAGAATGGTATTGTATTGATAATACAATGCAGAGAGGAGGAAAAGACTGTAATATCTGCTCTCTTTGTGTCCCTGACCTTGAGGAGAATTATAACTTGTTTATTGCAGAAGTTGAGCATCTGATATGCCGATGCACCTGCTAGTTCTTGTATATTGAATGGCACAGCACTCGCAGCTCCCTGGGATTGCTTTGTGGGTGAAATGTTCTCTGCAGTCGGGTGAACTGGTTTTCTTTTTGTAAAGAATGTATTTGTATGCATTCTGTCTCCAAAATATGCACTCACATTCTTTTGGAAAATGTTTGGCTTTTTATGTTTAAGGTAACATCATTATGATTTGTTTTTAATATAGAGACCATGAGCCAGGCCACTCCTGCTAGGAAGCTGGAGGAAGTTCTTCACCTGGCAGAACTCTGCATAGAAGTCTTACAGCAAAATGAAGAGCATCATGCAGAGGTGACGACCTGTTTTAACTGCTGTACAATGCTACCCGTGATGCCTTGCCACAGTAAGAATAATACTGAAATGGCCTACCCTTAAACTTTGATACACACTTGGCCATTTATCTGTAGAAAACTGAGAACAGATGTGCATTGCCTAGAAACACAACTGCTACATATCACAAAGGAATGCCATAAATGTGTATATGTACCATTATATGTGTGTGTATGTATGTATATTCACACACACATATAATGGTACATACATAAGTGTGTGTGTGTGTATGTGTATGTGATTTAATGTCTATTCCTGACAATAGCTTAATTGCAGGGGGGGGCAAGGGAGAGCTTGTGGGGTATACTAATGATTTACAACTAGTAAGAAGCAAACCTGGAACATGAACCCCACCCAGTGATGCCGGGTCATTTGTGGTTCCTGCAGCCATGATTGCTTTAGTTTAGAAATGTCAGTCAGTGTGAAAAAGGAAAGCTAGTGATAAACTAAACTATAGGATAGCATCGAAAGGAAGGCATTTATAACTCTAGTCTTTGACTTTTACCATCAAACTTTTCTTTAAATTTTCACTAAGCTGCATTGTTTATAGGTTTTAGATCTTCTAATTATATATTAGCATTCACTAAAAATATGGAGTGATCATTTGTCGGGCAAACTGCTTATTCTAAGACTTAAAAGGAATCACTTCTTCTAGTTGTCATGAGCTTATTTTTTTTTTTAAAGGAGTTTTCTGAATTGGAATTAGATAGGGGAAATCTGAAGAATTAAATAAATGTATTAAATGCCAGCACCCTAATAATGCTTTTATTCTTGAAAAAGCACATGAAATGAGCAAGAATAAAAGATAACCAGAAACATAAGAATTTTTAGGATATTTGTATTTAATAAAGGCTAGTTCTTCAAAATATAAAAAACTGCATGAAGTATATTGGAAGGAAATTCTTGGAAAAGAGTATTCATGAAACCTTACCATAGGTAACTAAGATTTATTATATCTGGTTATAAATATGATCATTCAAAACATCTGCTTTTAGCTCACACAGTGGAGTCTAGTTTTTACCTTGCATCTGTCATGTGTGAACTTGTTATGGATATTTTATTTTAAACTGAAGAAACAGCTGCTTCAATGATTTGAAATGAATTCCCAGGAGGATCTTTTCAAGGCGAGTCCTACTGCTATGTTACAATGGAAGTGATTATATGATAAAATATATGTGCCTGTTTGTCTTTGTCTTTTGTTAAACGGCATTATCATCAGAGTATTAGACCTTTTTGAATTGAAATTTTTTTATTGCATATCCAATTGCAGTATATTTCAACTACACAGGTGAAATATCTAATATTCTCATACATTTCACACAAAAAAAACACATTTAATATTCCTGCACTAATGAAAAGAATAACCTTTTTAAAAATGTAATTAATAAGTGTTATATACTTCACACAGTTACTGAATGCTTACTGAAATATCATGTATCCAAAAACAATTAAAATATAAATATTATTTGTTTTCTAATCCTCAAAAATTGAGTTGGCTTTATTGAACAGAGATAATCATAACTCATAAATATCCCTTTGCTATATGCTGAAATATAGAACTATTATAATGATCTCTTTTCAAAATGCTTTGTAACACTGTGACATTTTTCCATTCCACAATGCTTCCAAATTCTTGGAACCCCTCAGGGAAGAGAGGTACGTGAAATTGTTTCTGCTGTTTTTCTAACGTGGAATAAAAAAATCAGTGGAGATAAGATAGACCCCACTTGGATTGTAGTTCATTTTAAAGCCAACTTAGTTCTTCTCTTTGGAATTAAAGACTATTTTTTTTTACTAGACTAATCTTTCCTTTGTAGCGTTTCTGAAATTATGTATTAATAAATGCATGCATAATTATTGCCAGCCACCTAAGTATGGACCAACTGAGGAGATTTTTAATATTTTGGTTTTTTTTTTTAAAATAAATTTGTATTGTTCATATTATTACAAATGTTTCTTCCCCTCCCCCCCATTGCTCTCCTCCACCAGGTTTCCACCACACCCTCTGCCCTTTCCCCACCCCCCATTGTCCTCATCCATAGGTGCACAGTTTATGTTCAGTGTCTTCCTGCACCCCCCCACCCCTTTTCCCCGAGAATCGTCAGTTCACTCCCCTTCCATACCTCTGATTCTATTATATTCACCAGTTAATATTGTTCATCAGATTTTTTTAAAAAATTCTCTTGGTTTTTAGATTCACTTGTTAATAGTTACGTATTTGTTGTTCATAATTGTTATCTTTATTTACTTTCTCTTCTGAAAGAACCCCCTTCAGCAATTCATATAATTCTGGTTTGGTGGTGATGAACTCGTTTAGCTTTTTTTTATTAGTGAAGCTCTTTATCTGACCTTCGATTCTGAGTGATAGCTTTGCTGGATAGATTATCTTTGGCTGTAGGTTCTTACTATTCGTCACCTTGAATATTTCTTGCCATTCCCGTCTGGCCTGCATGGTTTCTGTTGAGAAATCAGCTGACAATCATATAGGTGCTCCTTTATAGGTAACTCCCTTCTTTGCTCTTGCTACTTTTAATATTCTCTCTTTGTCTTTTACTCTTGGAATTTTAATTATGATGTGTCTTGGTGTGGTCCTCTTTGGATTCTTTTTGTTTGGAGTTCTGTGTGCTTCCTGGACTTGTAAGTCTAATTCTTTCACCAGGTGGGGGAAGTTTTCTGTCACTATTTCTTTCAGTATGTTTTCGATATCTTGCTCTCTCTCTTCTTCTGGGACCCCCATAATTCTGATGTTGGTTCGCTTGAAGTTGTACCAGAGGTTTCTTACATTATCTTCAATTTTCTGGATTCTCTTGCCTTCTGTCTTCTGCAGAGGAGTGTCTTCTGGCTCTTTATGTTCCCAATCTTTTACTTGATTCTTGCAATCTTCCATTTTGCTTTTAGGACTCTGTATAATATTTTTTATTTCAGACAATGTATCCTTTATTTCTTGTTGATCCCTTATCATTTCTTGTTGATTTCTTATCATTTCTTGTTGATTTCTTATTAATTCTAGTTGATCTCTTTTCATATCCTCATAGGTCTTATCCATCTTTTCTAGGAAATTCTTTAAAAACCTTATAAGCGTAGATTTGAACTCTATATCCAATCGCTTTTTGTCCTCCATTTCTTTCGTTTGTGATCTATTTCGTTGTCACATTTTGCAGCTACAGATGGGGCGGGGTTTCAGGGTGGAGCCTACAGCCTTGGCTTCCGTCAGCCCCGCCCTATGCGGTTTCTGAGTCTCAGTAATCCCCAGTGTCCTTCAGTTGCAAGGGCCTCTGAGAGAAAGGTGCCCTCGATTTTCGCCTGCTATCTGTCTAGGCTCTCCCCAATGAGCCTGGTATTGGGGTTCAGTTCAGTTGGAAGTGGGATTGGAGGTGGCGTTCAGAGCAGTCTGGAGCCCCTGTCTCCTTCCCACCAGAGCAATCCCGTGGCACAGCCAACAGTCCCTTTTCTGTGTGCAATGTGCGCACAACTGGGACCTCCTTTCGCCGCTCCCCCAGGGTTCCGCCTTGCAGCCCAGCTCCCTCTGGATGAGCCTGGGTCCCCAGGGTCTGGCCTAGAACTGGGGTTCAGAGCAGTCAGAACTGGGGCCCAACACAGTTGGAGCTTTTATCTCCTTCCCGCTAGGGAACGCCAGCCAGGCACTCAGCCGCCCTCCTCTCCGGCTCCATCCTCTCTGCGCACGCCGTGTGTCTCTGTACCTTAGGCTTTTACAGCTCCTCCGAGCTTCCTTCTGGTTTTCTCCTTGCTTCTCGTTGTAGAATTTCCAGTCAATCGACTTTCCTGTAGTTCTGGGTAATGTCCATTTTATATTTTAGTTGTATTTTATTGAAATTGTGTGCGGGCTGCGGCTAGGTGTTTACCTGGGCAGCCATCTTGGATTCTCCAATATTTTGGTTTTATTTTTTGTTTGCGATGTTTTTTTGTGTTTTGTTGTTGTTGTTGTTGTTGTTGTTTTGGTTTGGTTTGGTTTGTTTTAACCAGAATATCTATCTTTTTCTCTGTACAATATTGGGGAATGAATTGGTCTGATTACAAAACCATTTGCAAAGAATTAATTGTAATTGCATAGTATTTATAACTGGATAGCCAGTGAGATAAACCAACATGTTTTTAATTGTGGGTTTGGGCTTAGGATTAGATCAGGCTCTGGCCCAACAAATGTCACTCATTTTGGAAGAAGGTGACCAGCAAGTGGCTTTCAGATGCCTAAGGTACAAGAGGCACGATTCCATTTGCAGCTGTCCAACGAAATTGCATGGACAAAAATATCTACCAACATGTTTGCTCACCACTTACTAATGTGTAAATATATAGTAATAAGAATAGGCCTTTACCCTGGCATATCTTTTAAAGTATTTTCAGTTTAACATCTCATTTGGTTATTTCAGTATTTGTATTCAGGTATGAATCCAATTAGGGAGACATTTTGATCAACGAAAGACTTGTAAAAATTGTTTCATTAGTTTGCCAGTAGTTTAGTTGTCACCCTGAGGCTTATAGTCCATTCTACTGACTCTTCAAAGCAGCATAAATATTTCTAGAACATGGACAGTCATCACATGTTAAGGTATGTGTATGTGTATGTGTATGTGTGGGACGGATTGTAACTTAGACACTGGACTGTCTAGAGTTTTCAGCAGCATCTACTAATACAAATTACAGAAAAAATGGGGGAGGGGAGCACATAATACAGGTCAAAATGAGATTCACAGGTTTTGTTCATTTATGTAGGCATCCTCCTTTTCTGTTGTAAATTATAAATTTAACTATATTTTGAAGGTAAAGTAATCAAAAGCCTCAGACCTCAAAGAAATTAGAAAAGACACAAAGAAATCATACCATAATAGATGCCCTGACATGAAAAAATCAGAGAACATTACCAGTGGTCTGATGTGCAAAAGGATATTTAGATAGATGATAGATAGATAGATAGATAGATAGATAGATAGATAGATAGATAGATGATAGATAGATATACATGCATGTATACATACATACAGGGAGGGCAAAGGTAGTTTTGCAGTTATGAGTGTGCCAAAGAGAGTTTATTCTTGTACAGTTATTTCATTATTATATCATTTTCCATACAAACGACTGTAAACCTACTTTTGCCCTCCCCTGTATATAGTGATGTATAAGAGCTTGGTCTCTGCACTCCAGCTGACTAGGATTCAAATTATTGCTCTGTTACCTATTATCAACTATATGAATATTGATATTTGGGCAAGTTATTTATCTCTCTGAATTTTATGAATGATAACATAAGGAAAATGATACCATCTACCTGAAAATGTTTTATAGAGGATTAAGATATCTATAATGAGAAAAGCATAATATGCTCATTAAACTGGATGGATGAATGACCTTCAGGATGACCTTCCGGATGAAGCTGGGGCTGCAAGGGCTGAGCTCCTTGCACAAATTTTGTGCATCGGGCCTCTAGTAATCATATAAAAGGCCTTTAGAACAGTAGTTAATACATAGAAACTATTCAATTCATGTGGAGCATTACTATTTTTAAAATATATAGATTTATATGATAAGCTCTGTATAAATTTCAACTCATTTTTGTAATTACAAAGTTAGTTTTGTTTTAAAGCTTTTGTTTTTTTGTGTGTGTTGTTTTGTTTTATTTTTTACTTTTGTTCAGCAAGAGATTTTTATAGTCATTGAATTTTCACAGCAACAACTCTGGGGATGGTTAGGGCAAGCATTGTTGCTGCCAATTTGCAGATGGGGAAATGGAAATCACATGGTCACTCCCATCTCATCATCAAGTTCAAAAGCTCAGTGCTCTGCTCCATTTCAGGGGTCACTCTTACCTGCCACTGTTTTCAGGCACGTTCAGGCCTGGCCTGCCTCACATGTTGTTTTCACTGAACAATATTTATTTACTGTTAGAACCTTAGTTGAAAAAGTATGGCTAAAGGATCACAGCCAAGTTTTGTTTTGTGTTTACCTCGTAATCAAAGTATACATGGCCTTTTGCCTCTGCCATCTTTTTGACACAAATGAGGGACTTAGCATCTTTCACCCAGATGATCATTACTTTGATCCCTCTCCTTCAGATGGAAGCATTTCTCAAAGGACTTTTCTCCTCATGGGTGGAGGCTGATGCTGTGGAACCTTTGGCCTCTCTCATGAAGGTGGAGTCTAGGGAGGAGATTAGACAGCCCCTCTTCTCACTGCCAACCCGGATTGGATGACTGCCACCCAGGGTGGTGGCAAAAAGAAGGAGGGGATATTAGATATAGATAGGAGGGGATATTAGATATAGAAGGAGGGGATAATAGATATAGAATTGACCCTCTGTTGTCAACTACTTGCAGCTCTTGAGTTTTATTTGGAAAGACGGTGATTGCTTAAAGCTTTCTCTAATCTTTATTAGAACAATAAGCATTCATCACAGGTTGGTTTACATCAGGAAGTTTGCACCATCAGGGGTAACATTATCATAAATGATGCTTATGCAAAATATGATGAAAACTTCAAGTTGATGAAAATATCTTGTCACCTGAAGCTCCTTTTTTTTTTTTTAAGCTACTTTTTAAGAGAAAATTATGTTCTGTTTCCCACCACGGCACTGTCTTCCAAGTTAACTTATATAATGAACAAAATAAACAGATGAACAAAATAGATTCAAGAACATAGAAGCATAGAGCAGACTGTCGAATCTCAGAGGGGGTGGGTGGGTGGGATCAACCAAAAAACTTGTATGCATATATGCATAACCCCTGGACACAGACAATAATGTAGTGAAGGTCTGGGGCAGGGAGCAGGGGAAGGCTAGAAGGGGCCATTGGGGAAAAGGGGGATGGGAGGGTAACATATCAATATGTAATACTTTCAACAATAAAGATTAAAAAACAAATCAATAAATAATTGATTATTGTGATTATCTAAACAGCACAGATTTTTTAAAGTGGTTATTGCCATTACCTAAAAGGCATTAGAAAATGCCTAGTCGAGTATAAAGTCTAATTTAAGAGGCAGACATTAAAAATATTCACATTTGCAATGCTAAGATCTGTGAAATAGAAATACCTGGAATCAGAGAGACTATTTAAGAGGACCTAATGCACATTGGAGGGTGAGGAATCTGTATGAAAGTATGTTTTAGTGTTAGACCTTAGATCTATAAAAGATGTACTACAAATAAAAAGCAATTATTTTTTCATGTGAGAAGAAATTTTATAAATATACATATTCAAATAATAAGCACATTTGGCATTGATGAATAAATTATGAAATCTAAAATAGAAATCAAAATACAAAATGGCCATCATTGCTATGTTTTAAAAATACACGTTTAATTTAGAACATTTGAAAAGTATATAAAATAAAAAAATTCCATATGTCATAATTTAAACATAACTACTATGAATGTTTTGATGTATTTACTTCCAATATTTCTTTTTTTCTGCAAACATTAAAACATTTGGTTTCATGCTCTACAACATTCTACTACAACTGCACTTTTTGTTTTGTTTTTATTAATCCTCATTCAAGGGCATTTTTCCATTTTTTTCTTAGTTTCCTTTTTTTAAATTTAAATCTTTATTGTTGAAAGTATTACGTGTCCCCTTTTCCCCCTCATTGACCTCTTTTAGCCTGCTCCCCTCTCCCCGCCCCAGGCCTTCGCCACCCTGTTGTCGTGTCCATGAATTATGCATATATGCATACAGGTTCTTTGGTTGATCTCTTCCCATGCTTCTATATCTCTGAATCTATTTTATTCATCAGTTTATTTTGTTCATTAGATTCCACATATATGTGAGATCATGTGATACTTGTCCTTCACTGACTGGTTTATTTCGCTTAGCATGTTTTTTGTTTTGTTTTAGAGAGTGTGGAAGGGAGGAGGAGAGACACGGAGAGAGAAATACCAAGGTGAGAAAGACACATGGACTGGTTGCCTCCTGCATGCACCAACACTGGGCTGGAATGAATGTAAAACCAAGCAACGTGCTCTTGATAGGAATCAAACCAGGACCCTTCAGTCCACAGGCTGATGTTCTATCCACTGAGCCAGACCAGCTACAGCTACAACTGCACTTATAATGATGTGCATTGAAGAGTGGCACAGTTTTTGTGTATGTTTCTAACAAGGAATTTGTTTTTACGGTATTTCCTTATTCTTTGACAGGCATTTGCCTGGTGGCCGGATTTACTGGCAGAGCATGCGGAGAAGTTTTGGGCTTTGTTCACAGTGGATATGGATACGGCGCTGGAGGCTCAGCCACAAGATTCCTGGGATAGTTTTCCTCTTTTCCAACTGCTTAATAACTTCCTCAGAAATGACAGTAAGCACTTCCATTTGCTGTAGTATGTGACGTGGGGAGAGGCGGGAGAAGGTTGTGTGTTGGAAAGTACATTTACAGAGCTCTGGCAGCTGCTCAACAGGCCAACGTGGATAAATGAATGTTTGCTCTTCCTCCCTGAGTGTATCAGGCTGGGATCTGGGAAGACCAGCTAACTCCCACCATGCTCCCCGGCTCTGCAGTTCCTCTTATTCCTGCTCTCCTGGCTTTTTCAAGGACGAATAACATAGATACCCTTCTCATTGTACCTTATGAGTCAGAAAGTCTTCAAAGGCTAACATTTCTAAAGCACTTGAGAATACTTAGATCTCTGAAAGACACCTTAGAAAGTAACCATTGTTCTATGCATTGTGATGATGCTGGTTCTGAAAGGGATTCAAAGGACATGGTATAGCTTGCTCTCTCAGTATTTGGAAATTAAATATGTCATAAAGGTTCTCTATTGAGATAATTTTTCCAAAGCAATATTACTCTCAATTATTTTGTTATATGGTCTCCTAGTAATCAGAACAAATCTAGTTTTTCATCAAAATTTTAGGGGGACTTTTTTTTTTTTTTTAATCCTCACCAAAGAATATTTTATTGATTTATAGAGAGAGAGAAAGGGGGAGAGAGAAACACTGATCAGTTGCCTTCCATACACGCCCAACCAGCGATCAAACCCACAACCTAAGTATGTGCCTTGGCTTGGAATCAAGACTGCAATCTTTTGGTGTACAGGACAATGCTCCAACCATTTGAGTCACCCAGACAGGGCAGGGTTCATTTGTTAACATACAGATTTTTTTTACCTTTTATATAATGACTAGAGGCCAGGTGCACAAAATTTGTGCATTGGGGGTGGGGGGAACCCTGCAGTCCAGCCTCCACCCTCTCCAATTTGGGAACTCTCAGGGGATGTCCAACTGCCAATTTAGGCCCATTCCCCAGAATCAGGCCTAAGCCAGTAGTCAGACATCCCTCTCATAATTTGGGACTGCTGGCTCTTAACCACTCACCTGCCTGCCTGTCTGCTTGATCACCCCTAACTGCCTCTACCTGCAGGCCTGATCACTCCTAACTGTCTCCTCTGCCAGCCTGATTGACCCCAACTGCCCCCCTGCCAGCCTGGTTGCTCCCAACTGTCCCCTCCCCCACGGCTTGGTCATACCATTCAGTCATTTGGCTGTCCCTCACTAACCCCCCTGCCGGCCTAGTCACCCATGCAACATGCTGTTCAGTCATTTGGCCATCCCTTAATAACCCCCCTGCTGGCCTTGTTGCCGATGCAGCCTGTGTTCGGTTGTCTGGTTGTTTTGGTCGTGACAGTCCCTGGTTTTTATAATATATATTAGGAGGATTCTTTTAAGTTTCCCGTAGCCCTAGTTTGGTACCTTTTGAGAGGCTTGCTCCAACGCTTGTAGTAATCATGAGATCATTAATTACCTATTCTATAACATTCGTCCCATTCTAGACTCAACTCTGCTTTCTCCAAATTCTGATTTATTCATTTTGCAAATTATTCTCATCCAAGTCTGTTTTTGTTTTGTTTTGTTTTGTTTTGTTTGTTAATCCTCATCTGAGGATATTTTTCCATTGCTTTTTAAAGAGAGGGAGGGTCTAAAGGAGAAGAAGAAAGAGAATGACATCAATTTGAGAGAGATACATTGATAGGGATTGGTTGCCTCCAGCATGCACCCCAACCAGAATGAGGATTGAACCTGCAACCCAGCTACATGCTCTTGACCAGGAATTAAAGTCATGGTGCATGGGCTGACACTCTAACCACTGAACAACACAACCCATGGCTTCTCATTGCAGTTTTTAAGTTCCAAATTCTTTCTCGCCTGCTAGCTGGCATACTTGGAATGTCCTTTTTTATTGCCAGTCTCTTATGATCATTCTTTTTTTTTTTTTTTTTTTGCTAAGAAATCACGTCAGAGTTAATATTATTTTAAGACAAGTATAGAACAATAAACCTGCTACCCCCTCCAAAAGAAAAAAAATGCAGGAATGCAGGAATCATGCATTAAATCCCTAACTAAAAATAAGTTAATGTAGGATTACTTCTAACATTGCTTTCTCCATTTGCATAAAAACTTAAGAAATGATCATATTTAGATTTAGTATGGAGTTTATTCACTAATGTTGATAGTCAAACTGTTAGTAAACATGATAAATCATTTAACTTATTCAACATCTTAGAATTTATATAATAAACGAGACATGAAGATTTCTTAGAAGCTTTCTTGGGGAATCTCTACTGCAACTCAATAAATTAACATCTTTTAATATTTATTTTTTAAAAGAGATCTCACATTGCAAGTATAAATTTATAAGAGTTATTTAAAAAAAAACACTAAAATGAGAATAGAAGAATGCTAACGGTTAAAATACCATTGCATTTTTAGCCAGAATTGCAAATATTTAATTCAAAATAGTTTTATGTCTCTCTCCTGTTTTAAACCATTTCTACCACCATTGGCTGCTATAAAATGCATAAAATATTGTTCTATGTTACGATATTTTGGTATACATTGCTCAAACAAAACACAAAAGTACTTATTACTGATCTCTTTTGAATGTTATCTATTTGTGGAAGGGCCGTTAAGTCTAGATCTTGGCTTTGACTTTGTGGTGATTAACAGATTTTTAGAAAACATCAATTATTTCAGAGAAAAACAGCCCTTTGTGAAGTGAGGTAAGTAGAAATGTTCCCCAGTGTCCTAATTTCCTTTTGGCATTGGGAGTGCCGTGTGGACTGGGGAATTGAAGGAGAATACAGTGACTTTCTTCCCAAACTCACAAGAAACAATCCAAAGCCAAAACCACTGAGTAATAGCTCAGATATTAGTAAAGCATAATGATTGGCTATTAATATAACCTTTGATAATAATGAATATTGTTAATAATTGTTTGTTTTATTAAATTCCTGAAATATTTATATAGTGATTTAGTGAATTGAGTTCAAATGCTAAATGTCAACTTATACTGCCCCCAAATTGTCCTTTTGAAAGCCAATGGGAAAATATAAAGCTTCTATCCTTTTAGCCCCCATTGATAAGAAGATTCTTACATTATTGCCATGGTGTGACATTTTATCAGATTGACCCCATTATAGTTACAGTCCATATTCTAATTAATTACAACTTTAACCAGCTCAGGGCAACAAGAACAGATGGTCTGAAATGTCCAGTGTTGGAACCAGAGGTAATTTGCTGAATGACGGTGCTTCTTGTTATCTCACACATGGTATACCACTAATTACATAGAGATTTTTTAAATGATTGAGATTTATTATTAAGAATGTCACCCCTGTTTGCTTTTCCAAATAAAAATTACTAACATTAAATAACTAAAGAAAGTGTTGGTTAGAATGTGTACTTTACTTGTGCCTTGAAATCTGTAGCTGGCTCTGTTTTGGGTTTTTAATGACTAATTTAGATAGTCCATTGGTTGTTTGCCCTCTTATTTTTGTTAAAATATTTATGCTTTGATATTTCAAAATAGGTGTTTTTCTGCAGGTGCATGGAAGGGTCCTTAGACCTTTATTTTCCAGCTGGGGAGACGAAGCCCCGAGCAGACAATGCCTGGTCAGGGGGCTGGCTCACAGGGAGTCAGGCACAGAGGGGAGTTCTAGTTGATCACTTGGCCTCCAGTTCTGTCTTGCTCTATAAAGCTGTCTTAGCATATGTGTCACAAAGTGTCCATGGTGAGAATCCCAGAAACTGAACTAATTATTGGGGAAAGGGATGCAATAAAATTCAGTTCCTATGTTAAGGGGGAAAACCCTGTCTGGGGCACGTGTCTTTTATCATAATCGGGCATGATTAGGTAAGTCTAAGTCTTAAGAACCCTTGGAGATGAAATGTGGTTTTCCTAAGGGATGAATACCAGCTGCACCATCATTTTAGTAACTGTCCCCATGCTCCCGCCCCTCTTAGACTCACCCACTGGTTCCCAGGACAGGACTGATGATGAAAACACACTCATGCTCTCACTTCTGTCCTAAACAGGCTACAATCCCATTCGTCTCTTCCCCTGCCTCCTCCCACCCTCATCCCCTCCCCGCCAACTAAGGAGGTAGTTGGATGGGCTGTCCCTTTAAATGGCATCTAAGGAAACAGTGTTGAAAATGAGATGTATTAGAATGGAGGGGAAATAAATGATTTTATAATAAACCAATTAACATGGTATTTGAATGATATTGAATGACTGTAAAGCTCATTATAGATTCTACCCTGGCATGCTATTGCGCACCATTGTCCTGTTGATAGAGGAATGGCAAGTGACCGCTTCTGACCAAAGAAAGCCATCTGCAAATGGCACAAATCCCGTCTTTCCACACTATGGAAAGGCAAACCCTTGGAGCTAGTCACCTTTTAATCTGTGGATATGCTAGCAAGTGGCAAATGACCATTCTACTGGGAACTAATTCCCAAGTGAAAAAATACCGCAGTTCTTCTTCTTTAATTAACAGCCCTTTCACATCGCTAGCACATTAAAGCCATCCTGAAGAACACCCGTGCTTATACAATCAATGTCACAGCATCTCTGCCTTGAGGAATAATAAATGTCCGAGTTCTACTCTAAGTGGGAACCTGTTCTCTGAGACGTTCACCTTCCTAAAGATGAGCTCATAAAAATCGGGGCGGGGGGGGGGGGGAGAAAAATCGGAGTGTCTCATGAGGATAAAAAGGCTAGTGTTAATAATTAGCAAAGAGAGTGAAGTGGCGTCAAATTAGCCATAATAGAGCCCAGAGTGACTGGCAAAGTCACCCTCTCATTATCAAAAAAGTCATTAAGAAATGAAGAGGTGGAAGTCCCGCTGGTTGCTCTCACACTTCGGCTGTATCAGATATGATTCTTCCAATTTCTTTCAAATGAAGAACTGCTAGGTCACCACATTGTGTATTAGGTTAACCTTCAAGCTTTGAAACATAAAGTGCTGACACTTACATGTTCTTCTACCTCAAGTGCTTAAAAGAGCTGTACATCTGAAA